CGACTGGTGCCTTCACCTCTGCTTGATGCCGACCTCTAACCCAGAAATGAGTCGTTGACTATTTCTAGAGTATTGTCACACCGGGGCTTGGACGGATTCGAAGTGATGCGTGCCCTGTATTGCGGTCTGTCGGAAGTATGGTCGGTTATTGGTACTGGACGAGTCGGCAGGATATCAGGGAATGGTCGGGGTTGGAATTTCCTCGAAACTACTTGTCGAGAATGCCTGATCAGTATTGATAATCGCGAAGCAACGGCGATGAGCAAGCGGATGAAGCAGATGGCTCATTGGGGGGGATGGGTAGAGGACAGCGATCGGTCGTCAGGCCCAGCATTGCGTGAGTCGGCACACCTGAGGTTGGGCAGGACAAGAAGGACGGGTCGGTGGAGCGAACCCCGGGATGATGGGAGTGCGAGACTGAGCGGGAGAGGGCAAAGCAGAGGACTCACTTGATCGCATAGAGCGAGAGAATGGAAAAGACTCACCAAACGAGAAGGTGATGGCGTTGAAGGATGGCTACGGGAGGAGCAATCCGTGGGTTGTGTGTATGGGAGGGAAAAGAGGAGTTCCAGCGAGGTTCGATTTTGTCTCTGAATCTGCGGTCTGCGGTCCGCTGGCCACGGTCGACGGCTGATAGTCTACACTGCGGTCTGCACTGCGGTCTACACCCCTAGGCCGGCTGGTCGTGGTGCGCTGTTCAGCGATGTCATCCACTGGGAATGGCGCTCACCACTCCCTAAAGGCCCTGTGACACACCCTGCGAGGCCACGAACGGCCAGGGGTCGCCGCACAGTGCGCGGGCTGCGTGGGTGGCGTGGGCACTTGGGTGGTTTAGGATGCTACCTCCCTGCTACCCGCCTGCTGTTGACCATTACATTCCCTCATCGCCGACACATCGAGGCTGTTTTCTGCTGTGCCAGGCATCACCACCCTCTTCCCTCTCCCACGCACGCATGGAGGAGCACTCCTCAGTCGTTTGCCTCAACCCCTCTGCTGTCGCAATTCCAATCGTAATCACCTTCACCGGCTGTTCCCTCACCCCCTGGGAGGGTTGGCGCCTGGGGTGCAAGATGGGAAGGTATTGACCCCACTTGCCCTTGCCCACTCTCACTCGCTTGCCTCTGTCACCCCTGCCTCATGGCCCACTGCCGCCCGCCAGTGGCACTGGCATCTGAGTCTGGGTGCGCGCAGGCGAGCGGACCTTACCTCGAAGCAAGAAGAGCCATATCGACCTTGCCTAGCTTGCCAGGTAGGTGGTCCCCAGGTAAAGGGAATAGGTGGTGCCCTGTCCCAGGCTGGTCCAGTTCAGCACTCCGGCGCATTTGGTAAGGCGCATTCGGACCAAGAACGCTGGGCGCGAAAAGAGGACGACTCGGAAGCTCATGCGCCAATGGACGAACTCACCCGCCTTTTCCCTTTCGTTTCACCGTTTGCTACCCCCCTTCCGACCGGCCCAGCTTTGCTCTGGTCTGTCACACCTCGCATCGCCCTCTCGAGAGATATTTGCCATCTCGCGCACTACGGGCGAGCGCACCAGCCAGCGCCAGGGATCTGGCCTTGCAGCCCTCCCCCCAAGTTCCTGAGGTAGCAAGGATCGGGTGGTGCTTTCATTCCCGCTGGCCAGCGATGTACACTTCAACAGCGTCACGTAGGCGCGCTTGTGGAAGCGCCCAACTGGGCTTGTTGTCCAGCAGATCGCCAGTCCCCCACGGGCGTACTTCAGTACTTCAGTCACTGGCATCTTCACGCAAAAGACAGTGACGAAACAGTTCATCCTCGAGGACCTGGCGTGCTACCTGGCTCCGCTGTGCCGCGAACGATGGCTCTTGACCAATAGCAAGGTTGGCGGCCCCTCAGGCTCATCGTACACCGTAGGATGACGGCCATCAATCAGGTCAACCTACCTAGGTACCTACCTAAGGCACCAGGCCAGGCACATCCACCGGCGCTAGGCTCACACGTCAAAGTCGCCTGAAGAGGCAGGCACTGTTTGATAAGGTAAATAACAGGGCGTGAGACAAGAAAACAACGGAGCGATCACGGTTATGGTGTTATGCAACCAGGACTCAGAGCCACGACCACGACCGCCTGGTCCCGGCCAATGACATGGGTGACTCGTCCAACTAGAGGCGCCAGATGTGTGAGCGGTGGGTGGGAAGGGAAGCGCGGCAGGCCGGATGACACCCAGAAACTTGAGCACAGGACCCTCGGCGACTCGATCTTCCCCACCTCACGGCCACATCTTGCTCAGCTAGTACGCAGGTATGTACCGACCTGCCTACCGTTCTGCTTTGCCAAGCCATGCTTCGCCAGCCAGCGACTGGCCGACAGTTCCAGTCGAACGGAATCTGAAGTGAGATGGCCCCGGTGGTCGTATCAGGCACAGCCTAGTCCGGACAGTCTCTCTACCAGGACCGCCGACTGTTGACCAACAACGCACTGATCGGCCGCGACCGGTTCTTCTTTGCCAGACGCTGAGTGGCCCATGGCAGGCACAAGCTTCCAGTCCGTCAGATTGAGTACCCCGGCCTCTTGTTTCAAAGTCGCCTGGCCACCTGGCCGCCCATCGAGAAACCGCTCCTCAAGATGCTTCTCCGGCAGTCTCTCCACTGGCCAACGAGCGTCGCAAGGCGGCATGGGGATGCGATGGATGGTCTACCGGACAAGGGTCTTTGGCTAGGTACTGGGGCACATGATTTAACCCGAGGTCACTCAATTGAGGATTGACAGCGCAAAGGGCCGCTTCTCCCACGAGATTCCGTCTGGTGTTCCCGAAGTAAATGGACAACACCTACCTACCTACCTCAGGTACCTTACCTTGGGTACCAAACCTATTACCTAGGTACCTCCCTGCTTTGCCAGATGTATGGTTTGTTCTCCGTGCAGTGCCTGCCCCGGAGAGTTTCCTACTGCATCCGTGAAGCACTTGCTTGTCGTACCTTACTCGTCTCTGTGCCTTCCTCCCGCCGGCGCGCCGAGCAAGCCCTGCAGACCAAAGTTACGGTGTGCATGCAGGCCATGTGCGCTTGCTTTGAACTGTACCATGGGATGCGACCTTAATCGTATCTTTTTGCGATTTGCGACGGCTGCCCAAAAGCCTGCCAGCGCGGCGCATCGCGTGGTGTCGCATCGCATGGCAGCGCATTGCAAGCCCTGGTAGTCCTCGCGCACACGGCATCAGAAAGATTTGCAGCTGATGCTTTTCTTTTTCTTTTTCTTTCCACCTCTCTCTCTTCCAACATTGGAGTACAGTAGATATTTTGACAGAACATGCTAGTCATTCATGACGACTAGGTTTCGGCCGCTGCCAGGCAGCCAGCCAGCTGGCCATCCACATTTTGGATGCGCCCGGGACGATCGGCGCTCGATCGCATCTGGACCATCCGTTGCGAAACCTGCCAAAACTCACACGCCTGCATGAGGATGAACGGCTGTGAAGGAGGAACTTCCTTTCCACACCTTGCGGCGCATGAACAGTGTGTGTTCGAACGTCTGCGACCCTTGGTTTCTCCGTGACGAAGCTTCGATGCGCATCGCACATCGGGGCTTCGTGTTGCACAGTGCCAGCGCAATCCCCCCGTCTTGCGACTGGCGTCAGACAGCGACAAGGGTCGCATCCATCGCCGGACAGTCTCGATCGTGCAAGCGCGTACGGTGCAGGTGCAGCATGGCCAGCATGGCTGATCTGACATGGGGAGCGCGTAGTTGAGCCAAGTCGATGGAGAGACAGACGGACGGACAGACAGGCACCTTGCTGTCCTGAGAGATGAGAGAGCCGCGTGCCCATGCGAAACGACTGATCTCTTTCCGCAGACTTGCGCACAACATGTCCAAGGTCCGCTCACGAAAGACGGGGCGTTAATGTGGTCCCCGACGCTTCGAGACGACCTTAGCGCAGCTTGCGTGGCGGTTCTGGTGAGGGGGTGATGCCATCCTCATGCAGACTATCGATTGCCAGTCCTTGCCTCAGCTAATTTGCAGGTCAGCTTGTGGACGAGCGACAACACTCACACTCTCGCGCGCACACCACAATGAAACACGGCAGCTCGTTCGTTATGCGGTGCGGATGCGCGCGACCATGGACCTGAGATGCCTTGCTCTCACGTCACAGAGGTGCAGCCCGAGTCAAAACAATCAACACGCTCTGCGTCAGGGCGGTGCAACAGCACCATGCGACTGGCTGCCGTTGGCGGTCTCAAAAAAGCCGACCGCTGTTCCTGTCCAACCCCCCGACGACTCCGGCAACGTGAGCAGGCAGCGCGTACTGTGTTGCCAATCCAGCCTGCTACCCTTCTGAACACCGAAAAACAAGCGCTAGCGACGGCGACAGCTTCTGCACCATGATTGAGTGAGCCGGAACATATGAATGAACGGGAATTGCGATGGGCCAGCGCGCGCGCCGACTCATCTCCTGCGACGTCGTCGCAGCAGCTGATGTGGAAGTGGACGCTCGTGAAATATATGGCAGTTTTGGAGGGGGAAACGGGTCAGGTGACCTCGCGAGACTCTCGTGCCGGGCCCAGCATAACAACGCGAAAACAGCTGGAAATATGGTCAGCCAACACTACGGGCTCCGAGTAGACTCGTCATTGGAAAAAGCTCTATCAACTCTTTGGCAATGTCTTTTTCACAGTTTCTTAACTCGCAAAACACCAGTCAGAATAGAATCTGGTAGCTGTTCGGCCGTATCGCCCTAAATGTTGTCCTTTATGATGTTGTGAGGGAGACGCGACAGCCTCAACAGTCTTCCATTTCCGTACTAGTGTCATCACACATGGATGACATGAAAAGGGTCCGTGCAGCCACAAACAAAGACCCCCCAATCCCAAGCCACACAAACATCAAAGCCACTACTTCACAAGATCAGATGGTCACGTGCTCAGGCTTTGTCGTTGCTCATGCCACCAAGCCAATAAGTTGTGCCCCTCCCCCAAAAACGGGCACGCCCTCGTTCTGCAAATATGATATGTCTTCCCCTGACCAGAAAAAGCAAAAGATGTCTTCCGATCGGGGAATTGAACCCCGGTCCCCGGCGGAGTCTGCCTTGAAGAGCGATGACAAGCCGATATCCTAACCACTAGACTAATCGGAATGAAGAATCGTTTATCCGATTGGTGATGGCCGCGCTCACCGACAGCTTCATATTGCGTGAATGAGTGGCGATTGTCATAATGTCGTGACCCACATGAGAAACGAGGTGTCGACAGCAAGCCCGCGAGTATAAGACGTGTAAAGAGTCGGGTCAGCAACCCTTTGTAACGACATTTCGACTCTCCATTTTAAGGCTCGAAGAGATATAGAGTCGCAAGACTTTTGTTGCTGATGCTTCGGAGAATACGGATCTAGTTGGCTCACATCTTTTGTTCAAAACGGATTCCAACCTACAACACTGCAGTATGCGATAGCTTGGCTGTCAAGGGAGATTCTTCCTAATTAGCAATGTCCGGCCCCTTCGGGAGATGTACAACACGCTGATACACGTGGAGAACAGACATGTGGGGTTTTTTTTTTGAAATGCATTCAAGTTCGCACCCGAGACAGCCATTTGGCTTGCAACGGTCTGCGGAGGGTGATGATCATACTGATCTCGATACCAAATTTGCCTGTACTGGGAAAATAGATGAGGCTTTTCTTGTTGGCTCCCATCCGAACAAGGCCAAAAGCGCATCACATCGGCAATCTATGTAGCGTAAATAAGCTGACACAGCGTACGAATGTTGAAGCAGCCGCTTACTCTCCTTTCATCGACAACACAGCTGCCAGCTTCGAGGCGTGCCGTGCGGTCTATTGGGATTGTTGGGAAAGGTTCCGATGAGCTACTCCCAGGATGGGTATGCGGGCGTGCCTGTCTCCTGGCTGGTCCAACGAATAAGCCAATACAAGCTTCTCGGCAGTATTTCTATGTGTGTGCCGCGTCGCATATCGGCATGTCTGCGTCTCATTTTCGGTAGGAGTCAGTGGCTGTCTGGAGCCTTGTCAATGGCAGCTGGCTGGCAGGCTCTAGAGCTCCGGAATGACGACGGACGCTACGGCTTCCCTTGGGATCGCCGGGGCGACAGGGGTCCACATGATTGTCCAATCCGGAGCGCGTCTGTTGGAGCTCCAAGCACGTGCGACCGCGTCAGTGGTCAGTTCCTGGCTAGACAGGTCTCCACCAAACTCTGGATCCTGGAGAAGCTCCTGTGCCTGCCAGGTCCCATGGTAAACAAACAAATCTCACCTTCCATCGTCGCACCTCTTAAAAAGGCACTAGCCGTATAACAACCGCATTCCTAGAGGAGGCAGCACACTCTTCTTGCCCCATGGTTCGGTTCCTTCCCTTCGTCTTATCCATATCCTTCCCTCCCCCAACTCCCCTACCAAGCCCAACATCCACCTGGTAGTTACCGGCTGTCATCATAGTCGCCCCTTTCGCGGCAAGCCAGGCCTAAATCACGACGACGTCGACAACCTCGCAGCCAACCCATTCATCTCCCTTCCAATCGGCCGTTCACCTCTTTTTCTCGACAAGGCAGCCTTTGAACTGTTTCTTTCCAGCAGCTCTTCACACGACGACCTGACTGCCCGGCACTGCTTTGGCATCAGAATTCAGGTTCCGACCTAGCAGTAGGCACCAGCTTGTTTACGGGATTATCCTCGAACAGAAAGACGAGCAGAATACCGCCGATGCACTGAGCGAAGATTGAGACACGGCGCTTGACAATCACCAGACTATCTTCCAATTCTCAGAGGACTCGTCGGAAGTGCAAGAGCGCGCGGCATTCACACAGCATATCTAAGCTTGGACCACTATAATCAACATGGACGCCAGAGTAAGTTTATCCTATTCCGTGTAATTGCCAATTTCTGTACCTCCGCCAGCCCAACCCAACTCTCCTCTTGCCAACAATCACATCAATCCCATTCCATCACAATTGTCATCACCACAGAAGGAGCCATTCTGACATTGGATTCCACCATCAGCCTCAACGACCTCGCGCTGCCCTCCCCGCGCTGGGCAACGAGAACATGACGATCACGAGCAAGCAGTCTGGACACCAGCGCCACAAGTCTACAGGCAACCTTCAAGCCGCTTCCCGCAACGGTGCCCTCCAGGCCGCTGCCAAGCGCACCGTCTTTGGTGATGTGAGCAATGTTGTCAAGGGTCTCACTTCGGGCAGCGGCGCTGTCGGCGCTACCAAGGGCAAGATTACCGTCGCTGCCGATAAGAACACCCTCAGCACGCAAGCCACGTTTGGATTTTCCAAGCCCGCACAGCGATCGATTGCTCCTTCCCAACCGGCCAAGGGCAATCTGAAGACGATGGCCTCAGCTAGCCACATTGGCAGCCAGAACAAGCTCGCTGTCCACAATGATACGCGACCCGACGCGTCGCAGGCTCAACTCGTGCCTGTGCAGGCCTCGAGACCCATGACGGCGGATGGCAAGCTGGTGGGTTCGACGTCAGTCGACACTCTCCAGGGAGAGTCGATCCTCGACCCTACATCTTTTGCACACCTCGCGGCCGATCACGAAGTTCAGGCCAACCAGGGCAGCATGTTGGATGTCGATCTGAACATGGCGCCGTCCGCGGACAATGGCGCTCTTCTGCATGATCAAGAAGCCGACCGTATGGCCCACCTTGCCCCTGCGAAACCCGCTATGACAACCTTCCAGCCTCGCCACCACAAGTCTCAGCCCCAGCTTAAGAACGAGGCTGTTGTACAACCGCTGCGACGCACGCAGAGCCGGTACCTCGCGGCACAGACGTCCGAGCCTCTCGATCACGAAGAGTCGAAGTACCTTGACGACGTTACCGAGGCCGCTTACGAGGATGCCCTCGAACACATCCTCGATCAGCAGTTGCAAGGAATCGAAGGGAACGGCCACTCTGTCCAAGACCGTGGATACGACGACAAGGCCGCATCCCAATACCCTGAGACTGGTGGCGAGACTTCACATAACTTGGACCAGAACTTGGATCTCGCTCTGTCTGAGCAATTGCCTGCTCCTCCCATGTCGGAACCCGAGGAGTATTGGGACGAGGTTGAGGAAGAAGAACTCTACGATGACCAGGGGTACACGACGGCCCACTCCTACAAGTCGCGTGGTGAAATGACTGTCAGCGGTGCGACTGCCCTCCTTGCTCCCAAGTTTACGGAACTCGTGCAGCGAGAGCTCCAGGCCGCGAAAGAGCATGTCGAGTACCATCGCACTCCTGATGAGGTTGAGGAGGAGTTCTGGGATGTCTGCATGGTCGCAGAGTACGGCGAAGATATCTTTGAGTATCTCCAGGAACTCGAGGTCAGTCATCACTATTTCTCGCGGCGTTTCCTCGAAGTAGCTTACTGACACCGGCACAGACGCGCATGATGCCCGATCCCCATTATATGGATCACCAGTCCGAAATCCAGTGGTCTATGCGCTCAGTCCTCATGGACTGGCTTGTGCAAGTGCATGCACGCTTCAGTCTCCTTCCGGAAACTCTTTTCCTGACGGTCAACTTTATCGACCGCTTCTTGACGTTCAAGGCGGTTTCTATCGGCAAGCTCCAGCTTGTTGGTGCCACCGCATTGCTGCTTGCGTCCAAGTATGAAGAGATCAACTGCCCCTCGCTTGAGGAGATTGTCTTCATGGTTGATGGGTCGTACGCCGTCGAGGAGATCCTGAAGGCGGAGCGCTTCATGCTGAGCATGCTAGGCTTCGAGCTGGGATGGCCTGGTCCAATGAGCTTCCTCAGACGCATTAGCAAAGCCGACGATTACGATCTGGAGACACGCACCCTAGCCAAGTACTTCCTCGAAGTGACCATCATGGACGAGCGCTTCGTGGCAAGCCCGCCTAGCTTCCTGGCGGCAGGCGCCCACTGCCTGTCCCGCATGATTCTGAAGAAGGGCGACTGGGTAAGTTACCAACAGCGCCGTGCGTTTGATTCAGTCCGTGACATTCTTGCTAACACGTTTTTCTACAGTCCCAGGCCCATGTTCACTACTCGGGATACACATGGAGTCAGTTGAAGTCACTCGTGCGCCTTATCCTCTCATGCTGCGAGTCGCCTCGCGAGCACCACGCGGCTGTCTTTGAGAAGTATGTCGACAAGAGATACAAGCGGGCGGCCGAGTACGTCCAGATTGAACTCAAGAAGGGCTTCACTGTCCCCTTACGGTCACCCACCGGCCATCCCTCCCCGTTGATGGACCTTGGCTGCTACGAGAACGAGCTAGGCGCCTTCAACTATCCGGCCAAGACAGGCCAGCTCATCAACGCATGAGCTCGGAGGTCTGAAGGTTCATTCTGCGTCGTCCATCTCAGAGTCTCATGAGATCCGAACCTACCCAGCCCAGTGGTGCTCGACCCTCTAGTCACGCACACTGTCCAACATGGATCCAAACGGGGCCCAAAGGAAGAGAGACACCCAACCCCCTTACGACTAATATCAAACGACTTGACGAGACCCACGACTCTTTTCTTTAACGCCTGGAGGAGGGTGTTCGCACCCTTGTCCGTTATTTGTTTCTGTTCTTGTTATTCTACATTGCGACTCTGGCTACACTACTTTCGGCCAGCGAGCTCAGGCGTTACGGATGAGGTTGCCGCCTAGGCATAGAGGGAACAGCAAGCCAGTTCCCGGAAATGGACGATGCATGGGGAAAATCCGCCATGTGCTGAGTTGGGGGCCTCGGGGACTGCACATCGGAGAAGAGTCTACGAGTAATATTTGCTTTGGCCGTGGGCGTTGTAATTTTTTTATGTACGTGATTAAAGACCGGCTGACGCGGGTCATGCAAGGGGCAGCGGACACGCCCTGGTTGCTTCGTCAGTAGGAAACAAAAAAGACATATATTCGGTCAACCTTGCGGCTCCTGACGTGGTCAACATGGCATAGCTCACGATGTTCACAGCCAAGAGTGGCTGTGAGACGGATGGCGTGTGCTGTGGCTGGCAGGTGGAGCCCTGCCTTTCGCCCCTTTGCGGGGACGTTGCACTCTGGCCACATTGCTGACTCCAGGGCACGCACGGGCAGTGTCTCTGTTCAGGGTATTTTGACGCAGCCGGCCAGCCACCAGCCACCCCAGAGCTTCCCCAAATTCCAACCACTGCCTGAACTCTCCATTACCTCCCCCTCACAGACAGACAAGCTTGTCGCCGGAAACGAAAGGGAAAAGCCCTAGGTCATTTGTTCTCCTCTTCTTGCTCGGCCCTGTGCCTCTTCGATCCAGTTCAGCCCTCTTCCTCCCTCTGCAACTAGGCCTCATCAATACCACCATGGTTCAATTCACCTCTGCTGTTCTGGGCTTCCTCGCCCTCCCCATCTTCGGCGCCATCGCTCAGGATGCTGTACCTGTGAGTTTACACTGAGACGGCGACCCCCCGACCCTTGCATCATGCCGCTGACGCCAATTGAAACAGGAGGGAGCTCCCGTTGCCGATGCGCCTACGCTGGCTGCCGATGTCGAGGCTACCTTTCCCGATGCCGACATCTTTGGTGTGAAGCTTGTCAACGGTCGCCCGACCAAGGCGGTCGTCGAGATCACCAACCACGAGGATGCCCCCATTCAGGTCGCATTTGTTGCCGGCTCTCTGTCTCGCGCCGAGGAGCTGGCTACCGAAGTCATTGTCCGCAACCTGACAGCTGTGCGTTACGATCTGACCATCGAGCCCAAGGAGAAGAAGGCTGTGCCCTACTCCTTCGCCCTCGACATGCAGCCCCAGGACGTCAAGCTCCAGCTTGTCGCCGTCGTCAGCAACGCCAAGGGCGACGTCTTCCAGCTGCCTGCCTACAACGCCCCTGCCGCCGTTGTTGAGCCTCCCACCAGCATTCTGGACCCCCAGATGTACGTGTCGAGCAAGCCCTTTGATTTTCTTTGCGCGCCGTTCTGACAATGTGCACAGCATCTTCCTGTACCTGTTCCTCAGCGCTGCCTTCACTGGCACTCTTTACTTCGTCTACAAGACCTGGATCGAGGCCCTGTTCCCCCAGGCCAAGCGTAGCGGCAAGAAGGTCAGGACCGTCAATGTCACTGTCCCCGTCCCCGAGCAGGACTCTGCCTCCTCCGCCGCGGCCACGGGCTCCGGCAAGAGCTACGACGAGAGCTGGATCCCCGACCACCACATCAACCGCCCCGTGGCCAAGAGGGTCAAGAGCGGCGCCAGCGGCAAGGTCAAGATCTAAACGATCGGCGCAATGCAACACTAGGCCTCAAAACCTAGGGATCCCCCCCGGGAGAGGATGCTGGAAAGGGGACGGAAAAGCAACGTGACTCGGCTCGTGGGCTGGATAGCATGCATGTATATGACTTGTGATTAATTTACGTGCGCTTGGTCGTGGATACAGCAGACCGACCGAGTCAGGAAGCAACACGCGATTGTCAAGCCTTGCACGCGTCAGTGCATCTCGTGTCTGATCAGCGCTTCAAAATACTTGTTTTCAAACTCAAAACCGTGCATTGAAAAAGCAACTGTCCTGAATGAAGAAGGGAACAAAGAGATTTGCCATTGTGATGGGACGTTGGTGACGAGATTACCGAGTAGATGCTATGTTGGAGTAGTCTCAACGCAGGGGCTAAAAGGCGGAGGTGCCCTGACTTTGATTCATTCGTCTCCGGGGACAGGGGTCTGCTGATTGACTTGCGCGCGCACAGGTATCCACTGGGGGATGGAGACGCGACTTTCTACACTTTCTACACGCTCAGCCCCCCCGCGTGAATTGAGGACCTCTTGCAGCTTGCATCACCCAAGCGTTACCACCGTCTCTTCTCTAAACTCCTTGTCAATTCACGTTCATCGACGCCTTCAGAGTCGATTTTCAACTTTGATTCCAAGCAACACCCACCACACACACCGAACCCACCGCCCACAATGGCATCAGAAGCCCCAGCCGAGCCCGTCAAGCGCGGCCGCGGCCGCCCCAGAAAGCCCGACTCGGAGAAGAAGCAGAAGCCGCGAGTAGACGATGGCACGCCGCGTCGAGGACGAGGCCGTCCGAAGGGAAGCGTCGGCAAGCCCAAGGTCCTCACCGCCGCCGCTGGCGTCTCCAAGTCGACGTCGACGATGAACACGCGGTCGACGGGCACGCGAGGTCGGCCTCGCAAGAGCGACGCCGCCGCAGCTCCCACCGCGTCGACTACCAAGGCGGCCGGCGCGACGCAGACACCGTCCAAGCGCGGTCGCGGCCGGCCGCGCAAGAGCGACGCCGCTGCTTCCTCTCCTGCCGTGGAGCGCGAGGAGCCAGAGTCTGCCGCGTCCGAGGCCGACGTGCCTGCGACGGATGAGTCGCCCCGGAGCAAGAGCGCTGCTTCGTCAGAGGCTGAGCAGGACGAGGCTTGAACGTGAGTTGTCTTTTTTCCCTCTTGAATTGGCGTGTCTATTTTTTTCCCGCTTTCGAGCGCTGACATGTGCTTCCCAGGGGAAACGGACTGAGAACCACCACGCCAAAAAAAAATTGTTACGAGTTCTGCACACACATGTTTACGGGACTATGCTTGTGACAAGCAAGCCTCACGTTCGGCCAGGAATGGAAGGAGAGGCGTCTGGACAACACGATGGGAAAGGGACGCACACTCAATACTAGCACGGGATGACGCGGGTTGATCGCTGTATTTCCTTTTTTTTTCTTTTCTTGCCGAGTCTTGTTTTCTTAACGTTGTCCTCTTACAAATTTGAGAATTTTCTCCAGTGCTCCGCGATCTTTCTTGGGACCAGGCCGTCATTCCCTCTTCCACTCATCAAACTCTACTTCCAGGTGCGCCTTGAGCTGCTGAAACTGGTTCTTGTAGCTCTTGTGGCAGCGCCAGCACATAAAGTCCTTCTTCAGGTATCCTTCGTGGCCTGGGTGCCGTCTCGGGTCATCCTTTGCCAGTGGGAAATCTGCCACGTCGACGAGGAAGGGCGTGTTGAACGAGTTGTAGTGTTTGCGATGCTTGACACACTTGGAATGCATGTCCCTGCTGAAGACGTGGATGTGCAGATGGTTCATGCTCGGATGTGCATGGATCCCCGTCCTGACCTCGAGCGCCCAGTTTCGACCTGGCGGCAGCTCGTCGCCGTCGACCTCGACATGGCCGTTGAGCACGGCCTCGCGCCTGGCGTCGGCCTTGCTCTCGTGTCCGAGTTTGCGCTGGAGTTCTTTCGCAACGAGGGCTTCGAGTTTACGCACCGCCTTCCGCACGGAAGCCAGAAAGTCTGCGTCCTCAAAGGCTTCAAAGGGGTGGAGGAGACTGTGCTGCGGGGATCGTGGAAGGAGTAGAGCGTGCACCGTCGCTTTGGGGTATAGGTCATGGACCGCGACAAAGTCATCATCGTAGTAGATGACCTGGGACGCAGGAAAAGAGGCCGGGTTGTCAATGTAGGCGCCGAGGTTGTCGCGAAACCTGTCGAGATGTGGTGCTCGGGGACGTTCGGCAGGGGAGGGTTTTGCTCGCTTGGGCTTCGGTGCCATCAGCTCGGAGACTTGAAGGGGTTGTGGTTAGTTTCCGACCTCGACATGGCACTCCTTAGTGAGTTGGAGCTTCCTACAAGCATTGCGCTGCTTTTGTGTTGATGCTGAGCTCACGAGCTCGTCGCGCGTCATTGTTTCGTTGGAAGCCTGCTGGAGCTTGTCCATCGCTGCGGGACCACTCTTGACGTTCTCTTCTGGGGCCTCGGTCAACGTAGTCCGAGGTTTCTGTCGTCTCGTGTATGTGGCAGCATTGTAACCGGTGCCGTTGTCGTGTACCCAAGGCGGCCAATGGAGCCAAGGAACATGTTGATGGTATTTCACGTCACTACAAGCGTCTTGCAAACCGTCAGAGGCTCTACCCACCCCCCACTAGAGCTTTCGCGGGGTCACAGTGCGCTGTGCACAAGGCCCAGTAGACTGATCGCTGCCCCACTAAAACTCATTCGCGACGACCAGACACAGACCGAGATGGCAGACATGAGAAAAGTTGCCCCCGTTCACGATCTTCATCCCTGATTTCTCACCGACACGCCTACGCTGCAGTGCATCATGCCGCACATGAGTTACTAGCAGTCTTCTCCACCAGAGTTATCTACCCCAGGATGGCGAAGAAGGCCAAGGATCAGGCCGCCTCGCAGGCGTCCGCCTCGCAGCCTGCCACCGGCAAGGAGAAGGACAAGGGCAAGGATAAGGGCAAGGACAAAGATGCGCCCAAGGGCAAGAAAGGGGCACCGTCTCTCATCGAACAGGCCGCTGGCCCGGTCGGCCCTCCGAAGCCCACGGCAAAACAGATCATCGGCGGCGCATCCTGGACTGGAAAGCTGCCCGTCAACCTGTTCAACGAGTACTGCCAGAAGCAGCAGTGGGAGAAGCCCGACTACAACATGCGCAAGACGCCCGAGGGCTACTCTTGCCTCATCACACTCAGCGCCATGGACCCCAAGACCAAGGAGATGATTAGGCTGGAGCCGTTCAAGATCCCCGCCGACCTGCTGCATCTGCTCACCAAGCCTACCGCCCTTGAGGCCCGGCACTTCGCTGCCACATATGGTCTCTTTCGTGTCTGCAGCATGCAGAACAAGCACACAGTTCTGCCTCCCGACTACAAGGTTCTATGGAAGGACTTTCAGGCGCTCAAGCAAAAGGACGTCAAGGAAGGCAAGGCTTGGATGTACGATGCGGACCCCTTCAAGACGATCCGCGAACGACAAGAAGCCAAGGCTGCTGCCGACAAGAAGAGAAAGGAGATCGAGAGAGTCAAGGAGAAGGCAAAGTCCATGCCGGGCGCTGCCGGCCTTGTGCTCGCCGGCGGCAGCGGTGCTGGCTCCTTTAACCCCATGAAGGGGTGGACCTCTGTGCCCAAGATCGAGATGGGCCGCAAATCCCGAGTCCAGGTCGAGTCTCTGATTCAGAAATATGTCGTCTGGAACCCGAACAAGGTCTTCATGGCTGCTCCACAGAGACAGGTCGTTGTCGAAGACCTCAGCAAGCTGGGCTTTCGACGTAGCCACATTGAAGAGGCCGTGGACATTTGCAAGGATCGCGAAGAGACATTAGAATGGCTTCTGATTCACGTGCCCGAAGACGACATTCCTCCTTGGGCTCTCCCCGAGAGCTATTCCGCCGGCATTTCAGTCGGGTCTCTGGACCTCAAGAAGGAGGCTGCTGTGAAGCGCTTGGCCGAATCTGGATATGCCTTGGACTTGTGTGCACGCATCTTCGAGGAGACTGGATGTGATGAAAGCAAGGCGGCTGAGACGCTGCAATGCCGGCTCTTGGGCCAGTCTATTGAAGACTGGACTGCGATAGCACCATCAGACATTCTCCCCCCAGACATGACAGCGGACGAGGTTTGGGATGACGAGGTTGTGGCGATGGAGTCCTCATTCGGCGACCTTGTCACCAAGATGTCCGAAGACATCATACAAGTCAAGCTGGAGTCGGTAACAAACGGGTCAAAGACAAACGTGAATACGGTCCTTCAGATCCGCAAGTCGCTAAGCTATCCCGTCCACCTGGTCATCACGGTGCTGGCGCAATTGCCCGCCCAGGCGAAGCTCTCGGTCATCAAACAGACCCTGGCCTATGTTCAGGAGGCCTATGGTGCGGATCCTATGAAAGTGTTCGTCGCAGCCGACTGGGCTCAGCAAAACATCAACCGCATCATTGAGAACCCTGGAAAGCTGGTAGAAATCTCAGCTGTTAGCTCCACCGCCTCCGAAGCCCCTGGGACCGTACCTCAGCTGCAACGGCACAGCGGCAAGCTTTCCAGGAAACCCAGGCCAATAGACTGGACGCCGAACCCCCGTAGCCGGGACCAATGGCTCAAGAGACAAGAGACCCCTGATTACAAGAAGATGATGGCGAAGAGACAGTCACTTCCGGCATGGCAGGTGCACGAAAAGATCATCCAGACTGTTGCCCAGAACCATGTGACCATCATCAGTGGAGAGACTGGTTCGGGCAAATCGACCCAGTCCGTCCAGTTCCTCCTAGACGATCTATATAACCAAGGCCTTGGCACAAGCGCCAACATGCTTGTGACGCAGCCGAGGCGAATCTCCGCACTTGGTCTTGCCGACCGCGTTGCGGAAGAGCGGTGCTCGCGAGTTGGTGATGAGATTGGCTACACTATTCGAGGCGAGTCAAAGCGGAGCCAACAGACGCGCATCACGTTTGTGACAACTGGTGTGCTTCTGCGCCGCCTTCAGACATCGGGGGGACGGGTCGAGGACGTGATAGCGTCGCTGGCAGACGTCAGTCACATTGTGATTGACGAGGTTCACGAACGCAGCTTGGACACGGATTTCCTGCTGACCATAGTAAGGGAGGTCATGTCCACGCGCAAGGATCTTCTCAAGCTCGTTTTGATGAGTGCAACGCTCGACGCAGCCTCATTTGAGAATTATTTCCGCTCACAGGGCCTCCGAGTTGGTCTCGTAGAAATCGAGGGCCGGACTTACCCCGTGGAGGACTACTACATGGATGACATTATCAGCATGACTGGGTTCAAAGCAGACGCATATGATTCACGAAGCGAAACTCTGGGCCAGACAATTCAGAAGCTCGGTCACCGTATCAACTACAGCCTTTTGAACGAGACAATCTCGACCATTGATCTCGAGCTGTCGTACCAGGAGAAGGAAGGCGGCATTCTGGTGTTCCTGCCAGGCGTTGCCGAGATTAGCCAGACATGCCGGGCACTTTCATCCAATTCCTCTCTGCATGTTCTCCCTCTACACGCCTCTCTGGAGACGAGGGAACAGAAGCGGGTGTTTGCCAGGGCGCCCCCAGGCAAGCGGAAGGTTGTGGTGGCAACGAATGTCGCAGAAACATCCATCACAATCGACGATATTGTGGCGGTTGTTGATTCTGGCAAGGTCAAGGAGACGACCTATGACGCACAGAACAACATGAGGAAGCTTGAGGAGATGTGGGCATCCAGGGCAGCTTGCAAGCAGAGGCGAGGTCGTGCAGGCCGTGTACAGGCTGGAAAGTGCTACAAGCTGTACACGCGCAACTTGGAGATGCAAATGGCGGAGCGGCCGGAACCTGAAATCAGGCGTGTACCCTTGGAGCAAATGTGCCTGTCGGTACGTGCCATGGGCATGCGAGATGTTGCCGCCTTTCTCGGGCGATCGCCGACGCCGCCCGCGAGCACGGCTGTGGATGGGGCCATCAAAATGCTGCGACGAATGGGCGCTCTCGACGGGGACGAGCTCACGGCACTTGGGCAACAGTTGGCCATGATCCCGGCCGACCTCCGGTGCGCCAAGCTCATGGTGTACGGGTCCATCTTCGGATGTCTCGACGACAGCGTTACCATTTCAGCAATTCTCAGCACAAGAAGTTCATTCCTGTCTCCGCCGGACAAACGAGACCTGGCAAAGGAGGCTCGCATGCGGTTCGAGCAAGGCGATGGTGATCTGCTCACCGACCTGGCGGCATACAAAGAGTGGGACAGCATGAAGCGCGACGGAACACCTCCGCGGCAGCTTCGCAATTTCTGCGACGACAACTTCCTGTCCTACCTGACGCTCACAGACATCTCCGCAACGCGACAGCAATTTTATGGCGCACTGGGCGAGATGGGTGTGGCGTTCGACCACGAGGCGCGAGGCGAGGCACCGGCATCACAGGGCTACGCATCACGAATCATGCTGCGTGCGCTCACAGCGTCGGCTTTCAGCCCGCAGATTGCGCGGATCCAGTTTCCAGACAAGAAGTTCGCCAACTCCATGTCAGGCGCGGTCGAGCTCGACCCGGAGGCGCGAGCAATCAAGTATTTCACGGAGGAGCAGGGGCGGGTGTTTGTGCACCCGAGCAGCACCATCTTTGGAAGCCAAAGCTTCTCCGGCAGCGCGGCGTTCATGTCGTACTTTAGCCTCATCTCGACGAGCAAGACGTTCATTCGCGATCTCACACGTAAGTACTCCCTCCGGGCTTGCGGTTTCCTTTACGACAAAGTACTGATGTAGGTTCTGCGCGGGAAGCCTTCAATGCGTTCACATTGTTGCTCTTTTCAGGCGCCATCGAACTGGACACAATGGGGCGGGGGTTGGTGGTGGACGGCTGGCTGCGGCTGCGAGGATGGGCGAGGGTGGGCGTGCTTGTGTCGCGACTCCGCGGCATGGTGGACGATGTGATCCGTTTGAAGGTGGAGAGGCCAGAGGTGGACTTGCGGGACAACGATGTGCTCAAGGCGGTTGCCAAGTTGATTGAGCACGATGGTTTGGATGCGTAAAAGAGTAGACACATACACGCGACAAGGCCGATGGGTCTTCGGCCCCGTTGCTGTTGGGCAGAGGAAACCCGGTGGACACGATTTGAGGCATTACTTTGCGCCCGGAGGTGCTGTGCTGTGCTGTGCTGGTGCTTTGTTTTGTAGTGTGCTGCGCATTGCCGTCAGGTCGAGTCAAAGTCGGGACAGGTTGGCCGGAGCTCATTTGAGGTGTTTCGCCGTCGAGCCTGGCGGTGGGGGGCGTTGTCCGTTGTCGGTGGATGGTGATGTGCGGCGGTCGGTGATGATAAAATAAATCCGAGGCGGGTGCCCGAGGCGGTGGTCTAAAGGACCGAGATTTGCGCGGGATTTTGTTTCTGATCTGGAGCTGATGTAGCTGATGGAGCTGCGAAAAAGAATCGGCTCAGGGGGAAGATGGACAGTGGGATGGCAGAGCGGGATTCGTCGGGGGTGGCCGACGGCGAGAGGGGAGGTGGGCGGGATGGAAGAGGGGGGGGGGGGCAAGGTGATGAGGCCGCGGGGAATGGTTCAGACGTGTCGAACCGACAGCTCTGACAAGAGATGGATGGTCATGCTACGGAGCAGGCGGTCGGTAGAGCCTCACGGAGATGGTAGAGATAACGAACAGGGCCGACTTGGTTGGTCGGCGGGGGGCGTTGGTGTCAAGGCTTCAGCTAAGATGTTGCTAAGTAGGTTGCGATGGGTCGAGGGTGGGCGGATGTCGATCCGTTCCAGGCATGAGGTTGCGTTGCGGCTTTAAGTTGCAGATGTCTCTGCCAAGCCTGGTTTACTAGTGCAGCCCGAGGCGTCGGAACTTTTCTTCTCTCAATTTTTCTCGGTTTCTGGCTGGCGTTTCTGGCGGTTGCTTGGGAGGAAGAAGGGGGGGGCAGGCCTGTCGTTGGCTTTGGCTTGTGATAGGCATCGGTGATGGTGATCTCGTTGTGTCATAGACTCTCGGTGGAGTGACCGGTCAAGAGGCATCTAGCGCGGTACCTGACTTGGCCGTGAACATGGAGCGCAATGGTGGGCAGAAGGCGCGGAAATGGCAGAAACACGGGCGGTGTCCGATGTCGGGATTCGGCCGAGTAGCTCCTGCCACGGCCTTCTCGTCAGTCCACCCTCTCTCTCTCTCTCTCTCTCTCTGTCTCCTTCCTCGCCGTGTGCGTGCATACCCTGGGAATGGAAAATGGAAAAGCGTGGCAAGGGCGACGGGACAGGCCGCGACCAGCAGCGATATCGGGCGGGCTCACCCAGTGCAACTGCAGGGCCATCCCCATCTACCGTCCGTCCATCTCGAGAGCGTGCCCTGTCTCTGCCTCCCACTAGCAATGAGCAATGAATGGGCAATGGGCAAACAAGCATCTTGGGGACGCTGCAGCGCCACGCCGCACGCGACCTGCCCCCTCCAAAAAAAGCATGCCGCACTCCGTCATCGCAGATTCCGGGCGACTTGCCGATGCAGATGGGACGAGATAACCCGGCGCCAAAGCACGGATGGACAGGGATCCAGGGCCCTGCCGCCCTTGGACTGGGTGCGACAGACCCGCTGCCACGAACGACCCCAAGATCCCCCCGACCCACGACCCTGGGAGGCCATCAGTTTTTTGTACGTCAGACACGGGGGTGACTTAGTCGCGACTTTTTGTCGACGCCTGCTTCGTCGCCGCGCCATTGGCTCATCTCGTTGCGATTGGGAGATAGAGCTAACGTTCGCCTGCCTATGAGCATGAAGCACACTGACACCTCTTGTCAATCCAGTCGACAAGACGGGACGCCTGGCCGGGCCACTGCGCTTCCCAAGCCCAGGGCCAAGCGGCGGTCGCTGGCCCGGACAAGTAGCCTCCGTATTTCGCACCAACCTACCTTCGTGCCCGTCGCCTCCGCCGTAGGCCGTCGCTTGGGGAAACCTACTATCTGGCCCATGCCGCACCGCACCACCCACCTTACCTTTTCTTCGGGAGAGGCAAATAATTGCGCGAGGGCAGACGCGGCACTCGCCCTGGGGAGGGGGGCGTGCCCCTGGTTCTGGGTCTGGGGTCGCCGCGAACGGAAGCTGCTGGCATGACCGACTGGCGGTGCCCCCGAAACGAACAACCGCTGATGCTCCTTCCTCCTGGGTTATAAAGACCTCTCTCTCTCGCCGTCTCTTTCTCGCGTCCCGACTCTGCCCTCTCTCTCTCCCTCACGCCTGACAACCGACCTGCTCGCCTGCCACCACGATACCAACATACATCCTCTCCATTCAGCAGCTCAGGTAGCAGCCATAGTCACATACCAGAACCCAACGTCCTACACCACACAACCGCCCACCATGTCTCACCTTCCCGTCGAGCCCGAGTTCCTCCAGGCCTACAGCGAGCTTGTCAGCACGCTCGAGGACAGCTCTCTCTTCTCCCAGCACCCCGAGTTCCGCACCGCCCTCGAGGTGGTCTCCATCCCTGAGCGTGTCATCCAGTTCCGCGTCGTCTGGGAGGATGACAAGGGCAACACCCGTGTCAACCGCGGCTACCGTGTGCAGTTCAACTCGGCCCTCGGCCCCTACAAGGGCGGTCTTCGCTTCCACCCCACCGTCAACCTGTCCGTCCTCAAGTTCCTCGGCTTTGAGCAGATCTTCAAGAACGCCCTCACCGGCCTGAACATTGGCGGTGGCAAGGGTGGTGCCGACATCAACCCCAAGGACATGAGCGATGCTGAGATCCGTCGCTTCTGCGTTGCCTTCATGCGCCAGCTGAGCAAGCACATCGGTGCCGACACCGATGTGCCCGCCGGTGACATCGGTGTCGGTGGCCGCGAGATTGGCCACCTCTTCGGTACCTACCGCCAGGAGCGTAACAAGTTTGAGGGTGTTCTCACCGGCAAGGGCAACTCCTGGGGCGGCTCCCTCATCCGCCCCGAGGCCACCGGCTACGGTCTCGTCTACTACGTCGACCACATGCTGCAGTACGCCGGCAAGGGTGGATTCGCCGGCAAGCGCGTCGCCATCTCCGGCTCCGGCAACGTCGCCCAGTACGCCGCTCTCAAGTGCATTGAGCTCGGCGCCACCGTTGTCTCCCTGTCCGACTCCCAGGGCTGTCTCGTCGCCGAGGGCGACGCCGCCTTCACCCCCGAGCAGATTGAGGCCATCGCCGCCCTCAAGCTCGAGCGCAAGCCCCTGACCGCCTTTGACCACAAGGGCGCCTTCATGTACATCAAGGGCGCTCGCCCCTGGACCCACGTCGGCAAGGTCGATGTCGCCCTCCCCAGCGCGACCCAGAACGAGGTCTCCAAGGAGGAGGCCGAGGCGCTCATCGCCAACGGCGTGCTCGCCATTGCTGAGGGCTCCAACATGGGCTGCACCCAGGAGGCCATTGACGTTTTCGAGGAGACGCGCAAGACCAAGGGTGACGCCGCCGTCTGGTACGGACCCGGCAAGGCCGCCAACTGCGGTGGTGTGGCCGTGTCCGGCCTCGAGATGGCGCAGAACAGCCAGCGTCTGTCCTGGACGCGCGAGGAGGTCGACGAGAAGCTCAAGGACATCATGAAGAACGCCTTCCTCAACGGTGTCAACACGGCCAAGGAGTACGTCAAGACGGCCGACGGCGAGCTGCCCAGCCTGGTCGCCGGCAGCAACATTGCCGGCTTTGTCAAGGTCGCGCGCGCCATGCAGGACCAGGGCGACTGGTGGAACTAAGCGAGGGAGACCTTGCTCATTGCCCCCGAATGCTCTTGATTGTGCTCTTTTTTTTTTCTTCTGCCGGGATAGAAAGCCTGTGATGCGCGGCGGAAAGGAGTTTTTGGCGCCTGGGATACCTCACGACACGACATGATTGATAGGCAGGGCAGTAGGCCAGCCAACTTTGAACTACACTTTTTACCATTATCCTTCCGTCTCACCGATGCATGCCCCTGAATGTGACAACGCGATGGGTTTGCCCCTCTCTGATGCCCATCATCAATTGGCCCTCGTGTCGGAAACTACAAAGTGAAGACGATAACATCAGATTAAAGCTCGTGTGACGCGGGTTCGGAATGGGAGGCGAACCCCTGCCACGGCCTGATGACGGAGGGTGTTCAGTAGACCAGGCCAGGGTAGAGAGCGTTCTGTGTGCGACTGAGGCGGGGGTCAAGGGACGCGAGGTCGGCGATCGGGGAGGTTGTGTTCGGTCTGACAGACTGTATGGAGGGGTAAGAGCTCTTAGTTTAGCACCTGCCGTGTGATGGTCTGGAATTGATCGAGAGACAGGCGGCTGGTGCCGTGTTCCTAGCGAGATGAGTACGTGCGACGCAGAGGGGGGAATGATCATGTGGATGAATGAACTAGTTTTCGGTCAAGTAAGCAGGCGCAGAAGCGCGGCGAACAGAGTCGGTGAACAAAACGAGGAAGGAAGCGGTTGTTTCTACCTGTTCTTGTTTCGCCGCTGCGTCATACCCCCCCCCCCCCCCCCCCTTTCTATGTTTTTTTCGCTCGTCTTTTTGATTCCCCCTTCTCCCTCTCTGCTCGGACCATGATGGCGCTCCTGCGAGGATCCCCGGCCGTGAAGGCGTAGATCAGAGGCGTCCGTAGGCCACACGGCCCGCGGCCTGTCACATGGCGACAGAACGGCAAAGTGGAAGCAGTGCTCGCGATGGGGCCCCTGCAGGTGGACACCACTCAGCCCTACCCGGAGCGGCGGCATGGCATGCACCACCCACCCCATGCAGGCGAGGCATGCGTGGGTGAAGGAAGTCTGTCGGAGGGGGTAGAAGAGGAGGAGGGCAAGGGTATGGTGCGGTGTGGCCAGGTGTTCGGGGAGGCCGGCAGCTCTTCATTTGGCAATTCGACGGCTTGGACAAGGTCGGCAATGATACCTAGGCGAGTGTTTGAGTGATGGCTGTCAGAAACGGGTAGCGGTCTTACTCACAAGGGGGGCTCTGCGAATCCGCATGTGGGCATCTTACCTCTTGGTGCCTAGCAGCCAAGAGATAAGCATCTCGGAGGGAGGCCAGTCTCGGCAGGGCCAGGGTAGGTGAAGGGCAGGCAGGCATCTCTGGGTTGGCGATGACTGCCTGCAGCGAAAGGATGAGAAGAGCCAGAGGCAGGAAGGATCGTTCAGCGACCAATCAGAGACCTGCCTACGGGGGTTGCGACTGGCGTGTTGTGGCTGTGGCCGGGCGCCAGGGGACGCTGCGAGGAAGCTAACGAAATAAGCGAGCGACCCAGGGGTCCAATGCTGGGAAACGCTGGGAACGCTGAGATCGCTGGGAACGCTGAGCACGCACGCTGGGAACGCTGGGGCACTGGGGCACCTGGGCACTGGACTCGGCCAGAGTCAAAGGCCGGCAACCACCCTTCTCGACTGGGCCTAATCGGTTTGTCTTCAGCCAGCCTCCATCCTTCTCGTCTCTTTCGCATCTCCCTTTTCGGGCCACGGTTGTGCTAAAAAAGAACTCACCGGCTTCCTGTGCGACCGCCTCTGCCTCTACCACTACACTACCACAGCCACTGCTACTGACCACATTGTCCGAGGCAGCATCACTTGAGACGCAACCATCACATCATGCCGCAAGCATTCCGCCTCGAGATGGCTCGGCCAAGACATGCATACACACACTGAATATCCCGCTTGGCTGCCTGGCAGCCTTGCCAGGCTCTGTTCCGAACTGCGTGCCGTGCTGATGGACTAAATTCCTTCTCCTGCCGTCCTCGCCGAACCGTTCCTTCGGATTTCCCGTTGCGTTCGGCTCCGCCGCCCTTCGCCGTGCAACTCATCATGGCCATGACTGATCGCATCTTGGCAAATCAAGCAAAGCTCTTCTTCTGGATGATGAATGGAGTCGTCACCAAGAATGAAGAAGCAACGAGACGAAATAGCCTTGTTGACTCCATCCCAGGCGGCCCCCCCCTGTCCTTCGTCTCTGCTTCTCCACCAGCGCACATCACCAACCGCCAATCGCACGTGGTTCGCCAGTGTTCGACCCTCACGCCCCCAACGTCTCTGGCTTAGCATCTCTCTCAGCCGCTCTCCTTCCGTCTCCTGTCATCTTGCGTCTCGTTGATCGTTGCCCTCTCGTCGCGACAAATGGGGTGCTCAGCCCGGCCGGCAAGGCTGGTCGCCGTCAGCCATCATGGCGAACCTGTCTTTTCATTGCTCGTCCTCGTCTCCATGGGCCCCCTTGCTCGAACAAGAGGCGGTATCATATTGCATCATCATGCTTGTACGCATTCCCGACGTGCTGACTGACGGAGACGTACATGTACTGACAGTCAGTCAGTCAGTCAGCATCTGCTTGGCAGGCCACGACCGAACGACCTAGGGAGAGAATGCTATTTCTGCCCGTCTCATCACATCCTCCGGCCTGTCTACCGTTCGCCCTAGTCTCTAGCTGGCCCCCTCCGCCTCGGCTTCTCACCATTCAATAGACCCCAATCCTGCCCACCCTGACCGCCCCCCCTGTCATCATCCTCGGGCCTCAGCCCTCCTGAACCCTGTCTAGCATTGGCTGGACTGCATCTGACCCGACGCCATCTGCAGTCCGCACGGGAGCGAAGAACGAAAGCAAAGGCAGCAAATCCGTTGCCTTCTCTTTTCACATGGCCCCCTTACCTCGATTCGGACCCCTCCCCTCCCCCGGCCGGGCCTTGCCTTGTGCGCCGGCGCGCCAGTCCATCCATCGCTCGTTCCCAGAGCCCGTCTCCTCCATTCATTTGCATCCGCATTCATATGCCCCATCGTCTTCACCTACCATGTCCGTGTCCACCAGCCATTATAATAAACCTAGTCTTGTCCCTGCTCTCCCATGGGTGTGTGGTTCATCCAGTCCCTCGAATCCTCGAGTTCTTGTCTTGTTCTAGATGTTTGATCTCTAAAACACGCCTACTTGTGAACCTACCTCGTATCGCCTGCCCTGGTTACGAGACCCGGCACACCCCTCCGCAATATTGCCGCCAGCTGCGACCCGCGACACCGTGAGGACTGTCAGCCCTTGTTGCGACGCTGCCTACCATGGCTCCCATGGCTGAAGATACGTCGCCTCGGCCTACCAAGGTAAAAGGCAAGGTCACCTTCCCGCCTCCGGTCAATGGCACACTCAACGGCACATCCAACGGCACATCCAACGGCACATCCAACGGCACATCCAACGGCCACTACTGCGCCGCCGAGTCCGGCCCCGCATCGCCAGCTCTCAGCGTCTCCTCCTCCTCGAGGCCGAGCACATCCTCCTCCTCACCGCGCCCGCAATCCTATCGCGAGCCAGAGCCATCAAATGGGATCAGGCACTCCCAGTCACACCGTATCAAGAGTTTCGGGCCCCATGAAGATGACGCTGGTGGCCCCAGAACCCGCCACCACGCCAACATTCGCACCTACAGCGACGATGCCCGGACCAAGAAATTCCCCGAGATTGCCAGGCCTGTTGAACTCATGCGCAACAGTTATGACTGCGTCGTCATTGGTTCTGGCTACGGTGGTGCTGTGGCTGCCTCGAGGATCGCCCGCTGTGAAGACCCCTCAGGCAAGCGCCAGTCTGTCTGCGTTCTCGAGCGCGGCAAGGAGAAGTGGCCTGGCGAATATCCCTCCGGCGTGCTGGACGCTCTCGACGAGGTCCACGTGTCTGGCCAGTTTGCTCCGGGCTGGTTCCCGCAAACCATGGTGCAGAACGGCGACCCCACCGGAATGTACCACCTCATCTTTGGCAGGGGATTGAACACGGTTGTTTGCAATGGCATGTTATCCTCTCTCTCACCATCAATCTATCGCGTTTGCTTACTGGCTAAATAGCCCTCGGCGGTACGAGTCTGATGAACGCCAATGTCTTCCTGGAGGCAGACAAGGAGACATTGTCTATGCCGGTCTGGCCTGAGGAAATCAGGAAGGACCCTAGCAGTCTCGATAAATGTAAGTCTCCTCGGAGCCTCAACAGTGATGTCCATCTATTACTTTGCCAGCACAGGCTGATTGATCTGCAGACTACGATTGGGCCCGAAAAGTGCTCGAGCCGATGCCATATCCCGACGACTGGCCCGAACTGCCCAAGGTCCAGCTTCTGAAGAAACAGGCCGAAGCTCTCGGCATGGCTGACAAGTTCAGAATGGTGCCCCAAACGACGCGATTCCGCAACGGTCCCAATAGCACCGGCGTTGAAATGGCGCCCTCTGCTTTGACGGGACAAGATTGCACGGGTGTCAATGACGGATCCAAGAACTCGACTCTCGTCACATACTTGGCTGATGCTTGGAACTGGGGTGCCGAGATGTTCTGCGAATGTGAGGTTCGTTACATCAAGAAGGCTGAGGGTCGCGAGGGCTACATCATCTACTTTGCTTGGCATGGCCGGAACAGGGGCCACTTCAAGGCGAACCTCCATGACGACCTCATGTGGGTACACGCCAAGGAGTGTGTCTTTCTCGGCGCCGGCTCAGTTGGAACCACGGAAATCCTCCTTCGAAGCAAGGAGATGGGTCTTCCCATGAGTGACCGTGTCGGACAGAACATGAGCGGCAACGGCGATATGCTAGCTTTTGGGTCGGTGTCGCCACCTTTCTTGCCCACCGCCCAACCTTAAACTAACTGTATGCTAGATACAACACCGACTACGAAGCCAACGCCATTGGCAAGCCCTTCCCCAACCCTTATAACCCTATTGGGCCGACCATCAACTCCATCATTGACGATCGTGCGGGTCACGAGAATCCGCTTGACGGCTATGTCATCGAAGAGGGCGCCATCCCTCGCGCCCTGGCCCCCTTCCTCCAAACCCTCCTAGAGATGATGCCTGGCAACCAGGCCCCTGCCGGCGATTCTTTCAGCGAGAAGGTTCGCTCGAGTCTCGCAAACTACAAGAGTCGTTTTCTGGGGCCCTATGCTCAGGGCGGTTCTTTGGATAACACCCAGGTATACCTGGTCATGTCACATGACAGTGAGTGTGCCTCGAACGAAAGAACGAAACTGTCTTCGACTTGCGACTAACACCCGCTACTAGGCAGCCAAGCCATGTTGACTCTAAAGGACGACAAGCCCGTGCTGGAATTCCTCGGCGTAGGCCGCAGCGATCAGGTCAAGAAGCTGCATGATCTCCTCAGCAAGGCGACGCAGGCCGTTGGCGGCACATTTGTACACAACCCATTCTATGCCTTGATGGGCAACCAGCAGGTCACCGTTCACCCCATTGGGTACGTTGCGTGAAAGGCATCTCGGGTATGGACTCGTGCTAATACAAATTGACAGTGGTGCTTGCATGGCACGTGATGGCAGCCCCGAGACGGGCGTGACGACACACGCTGGCGTTGTCTTCACAGGAGAAGATGAGGAAACCCACGACGGCCTCATCATCACAGATGCTTCCGTCATTCCCGCTGCTCTCGGTGTCAATCCTTTCGCCACCATCACTGCCCTCGCGGAACGCTCAGTTGATCACTTCATCCGCAGGAAAAACTTCAAGATCCACGAAAAGCGCAATGGTATCATTGATCTCTTTGGCGAGCCAAAATATTCACCCCAGAAGATGAAGAAAGCAAAGCTCGACGCGGAAGCGCTGGAGATCAAGGAGGCAAGCTCCAAGATTTCACGCGCCATGGTTTCGAATGCCGCTGGTTTTGGCTTTACCGAGGTCATGTCTGGCTTCGTGCACCGCGACACTGGACTCACCGGCGACAAGCGTAGCACCTATGAGTTGGCATACCGAACGGCCAAAAGCCTCTGCGAGAGCGCACGCTTCTTCCTCAGCGTACAAGCATTCAACACGAGGTCGACCATTCAGGAGCCGGACCACTCGGCAATGCTGACCGGCACTTTTGTCTGCCCTGCCATCTCCGGCTCACCGTTCATGGTACAACGAGGAGATTTCAATCTCTTCATCCTTGACCAGAAGGCACCAGGGACGCGCAACATGACCTACGACTTTGACATGCGCGGCATTGATGGCAGGACACTGCACTTCCACGGCTACAAAGTTGTTGACTCGTCCGTGGCACTGGCTCCGTTCCAGTTCTGGAGGGCTACCAGCACTCTGTACGTGACCATCCTGGAGCCGTGTCACGACCTTGATACGGTCGAAAACTGCGAGGAGCCGTGGCGACTCGGCAAAGTCGTGGCCAAGGGCATCATGCATATCCAGCCTTCCGACTTTTTCTCGCAGATCATGACGATGACGCCTACGGGGAGCAGCCTCTTGAAGAAGGCCTACAGCGCGGCCAGCTTCCTCACGTACTTCACTCGCAAGTCTCTCTCGCTCTTCCTAGGGCCGTTCACGCCACTACAATACCCAAGTGTGAGCTACAATGGCTATGTCAACGATACGCCGACAGACGCGTCCTTTGTCATTGTAGCGCAGGACAATGTCAAGACAAAAATGCATATGTGGGAGTCGACAAACCCTGACATCGAGACGAAGAACCTGATCATGATACCTGGAGCGGCAGTGGACCACCAGATCTACGCGCTGCCCACGATCCAATACAACGCGGTCAACTACTTCACGCGGGCTGGCTACCGAGTCTTCATTCCCGTACATCGCATCGGACAGCTCATGGTAGCGCAGAACAACTGGACGACATATGACGCTCGTCTGGACCTTCGCGCTTGCCTCGAGTATATCCGGGAGAACTATGCTGACGGCAATGCCGAGGGCAACAAAATCTATGCCATCGCGCACTGCATGGGCAGCGTGGCCTTTTCCACCGGCCTTTTGGACGGGACTATCCCGAGCGACTGGATCCTCGGTATTACAGCCAGCCAGGTCTTCATGAACCCACTGTGGAGTAGGTTGAACTCTGCCAAGGCCCTCGTGGGGCCGGTATCTCTGGACAGAGCCTATAGGACGGTGCTCGGCAGTTGGTTCTCTTGCAGCACCGCAAAGGACGATAGCTTCTTCCAGCGCATGCTCAATGAGGTCTTGCGCTTCTACCCAGAGGAGCGCGCCGAGATTTGCAACAACGCCAGCTGTCACCGATGCACGCTCGTGTTTGGGCGTTGCTGGAACCACCGGAACCTCAATGAGGCGACGCATCGGCAGATCGACCGGTTCTTTGGCGGTGTCAACATGACGCAACTACATCTTCTCATGAAACAAGGCCTCGACGGCCACGTCATGACGAACGGCCCGCTGTTCCAGCGCCTCACGACTGACCGGAATATCCGTCGCCTCAGAGGCATCCCGTTCCTGCTCTTCGTGGGTCGTGACAACGCCGTCTTGACACCAGAAGCGACAGAGCGGACGTATGAGACACTGTGTGATGTGTTCGGATCCAGCGGCGGCAACCCCGACGATGGCATCCAGTACCGGAGACGCGTGGTCCCTGACTACGGGCATCTGGACTGCTGGATGGGACGCAACGCATGGAAGGATGTGTATCCATTCGTGAGGGAAGAGGTGGACCGTGTTGTCAGGGGTGGATCTTACAGGTTTGAGGAGCCTGATGACCGATTTTTGGCTATGACAGAGAGTGGTGAATTACTGTATTAGGTAGGCGTTTTGGATACATGGATCTTTGGTTGTACAGGTACAGCTGGGATGGACAGTCTGCGGGTTAAGGCGAGGCGGCAAATTGTTCTGGCTGCGGACGGGAGTTCAGGGGTTTGACTGACGTTCAAATAACATGTATGGGTAGGATGACAGATGGCGTTGGTTGAGGTATGCAAGACTCGAGAATGATATCTGGCCTTGCCTTGTTACTTTTGTGTCTACGCGCTGTGTTATGCGTATTATGAGTTGCTCCTCGCCCTCGTATATGAACCATTGTTATGGCAGGGCAGTAAACGTCTTGTCGTACACCAGCCGCATGTCATTCCGGTAGAGAATGACCTGAAGGTGCCACTCCTCCTCACAATCGGCCTCGGTCCTCCGCCCAGGCGATACATCAAGTGCCTCCACCGGCGGCGCAGAACCAACACGATCCTCCCACACGATGAAAGCCACAGTCTTGCCTCCTCTGAAGTCAATCTCGGGCTGATCGTCATCCCACACAAACCCGCCCACTGTCCCTCCGGGTGCCGTCATCTCAACAACCTGTCCACCTCCCCTGATGACGTCCCCGCTTCGATCAACAGCCACGACCCTCGCGACCCTGACCTCGAACAGGCCCCTCGCCGTCGCGAACCCGCCGCGGACCCAGCCCAGCCACGGCGTGAGCCGCGGCCGCACAGTCCACGCCCCGCCGCCCGGCGCCGCGACGACGGCGCCGAGCACGTGTTCCGTCAGGAACCCCGTGGGGCCCGCGGCGCCGGCGCGACAGTGCGACGTGCGCGCGTCGTCTGGCGGCCGCGCGCGTCCTCGGCCGTCGACGGCGACGCCCGCGGCGAGGGTGCTGTTTGTGAACCCCGGCCCGTCGAGGAGGTGGGCCCAGTGTCGCAGGATGAGGGCGACGGCCGTGTCGGGACGGCGCGCGGCGGCGTGGGCGGCCAGCTCGATGGAGGAGGCGAGCGGCGAGAGGAGGCGTGGTGTTTCGGGGGCCGGCGCGCCGGCGGGGAGCCAGCGCGCGCTGAGGGCGCGGGAAACGGATGAGGATAAGGATGGGTGGGCGGCGCCGGCGACGAGGGCCCAGGCGTTGCCGGCTTGCGGGGCGAGCTGGTCGGGGTCGGGGCAGCGGCGGGATTCGGCGAGGTTCGCTGCGTGGAGATGGGTCGTCGGGCAGTAGAGGAACTGGATGCCCTTGTGGAGGACGGCGCGGGCGGCGGTCCAGAGGTCGTCGTCCGGACGGTGCGTGTTGCCGTCGTTGTCGTCGCCGAGCCAGCGTGCGAGGGTGATGGTCTTGTCGAGGACGACGGAGAGCAGGGCGCTTGCTTCGAGGCTGTGGCCTTCTTGCCCAGGGTGGAGGTTCGTGTCGTTGTCGATCTTGGCCACGCTGACGTTGACGGCGCGCAGGTAGGCTGGCCAGCGGCGCGTGAGCCAGGTCATGTCGCCCGAGAACTTGACATAGGCGTGGACGCTGAGGAGGGCTTGGAGGTGGTGCGTGTCGAGAAACTCGCCGTGGAAGCCAAAGGGGGGCCCGGCCTGCGGGAGCGAGCCGTCGGCGTACTGGTGCGCGAAAAGCGCATCGAGGGCGTTGCGCACCGCGAGCATGTCATGTGTCGACACGGCGATGCCAGGCGTGGCGAGGAGCAGATCGATGGGCGAGACGATGCGGTTTCGTTTGGCACCGTCGGCGATGACGGCGGTGCCGTTGGCGATGGTAAAGTTGGAGTACCAGGAACCGGCGGGCGACTCGTTGTCGTCTACGAGACGGTTGTAATCGATCCTGGACGAGCCCTCGCCGGGGTCGAGCGTCGAGAGCTGCAGGGTGTACGCGCCGGCGTACCAGATCCTGTTGAGCAGGTTGCTTGAGCTGAAGAAGTAGCCCGAATAGGCTCTGCCTTGGGCCTGCGAGGGGTAGGCAGTGCAGTCGACCCAGAGGTTCCGGATGGACACCCACGGCGTCGCGTACGGATCTCTGTCTGACTTCCTCCGTTCGGCTCCCGGGCTCAGGACGTGTTGCCCGGACAGGACGTCACGATGCGGAAAAGGGGCCGGACCGCTACCGAGTACGGGGTACACCGGCATCCGAATGGTCAGATATTTGAAGCCGCCTCGCACGAAGTCTTTTCCGACGCAGACCACTCCAGTCTGGGTCCCAAACTCGATCTGCAGGGGCAGGTCTCCCTCCGAACGGTCCGTCGTCGCGTCGGGCAGCTTCCCTGAGAACAGAGGAGATTCAGAGTAGGAGAGGTAAAGCTCTGGATCGTCGCCCACAGACTCGACATCGAAGCAAACCCTGTGCCGCCTGTCAGCGATGGTGTGTCAAAACCACGGCTTGAAGCCCCCCCCCCCCCGGGGGGGTCCGTCACACGTACCGGCCGCCAATGTTCTCGTCAAACTCCAGAGTCAGCAGTCCTTCGGGCCCGATCAGTATGCCCTGTCCAGGAACATGATCGCCTGTTGTGACGACCCATGGTGTGGCGGAGCTCGTCGTGACATTGCCAAAGGTGGCCAATATGCGAGCCGGCGTGATGCGCGTCTTATCTGCCGGGGCCTTGATATAACGTTCCCACGGCCCTGGGAAGAGCGTCTCGTCAGGGAGAGCGGTGTAGTCAATGTTCTTGGCTCGCACCTCGACTGACGACGCGAGAAGGAGAAGGAGGGGGGCGAGGCGCCGGATCGTAGCCATGAGGAGACGCCCTATGAGATGGTGTGGCTGCTCATTCAAGTGACCATCAGAGACAGAAGATGGCGAGGTTTCTCTCATGCCTGACTGACTACAGTGGGATGAATCCGAGAGCTGTCGTCATGTGAGAGTGTAACATAGCGACCTGCCTAGTAAGGTAGGTAGATAACGGGTTTGTGGTGAGGCGAAGTACCCCGCGTCATTCCGTCATTGTTCAATCTTCGGTAGCTCCCACGACCTTTGCCGCAACCCCTAAACAGCCGTGTATGTGCTGAGGAGAACGAGGTTGTGTGAGAAAGGGAGAGAGAGAAAGAAAGGCCGCACGCTGTCACTAGTTGCATCGTCTTCAAGTTGCTGTTGAAATGAACTCGTATTTCCCATATTGCAGGCCAAGCTTTGCTGGCGTCCAAACCAACCCCCATGCCAAACGCCGTCTCGAGTGATACCAGAAGCATACCTGCGCCTCCTCACGCCGAACTAACCCTTGAGGTCCCTGAGTGTGCAACCTCCTTACCAGATGGCCGCCTGGTCGAAATCGAAACGCTTGAGCTCCTTGCCCGCATCCTCCAGATCCTTCTTCGCCTTCATTCGCATGTAGAAAATCGGACAGTCCTTGCTGCTGCAGATGACCTCGCAGTGGATGCTGCCCTGGCACCGCTGACACTGCGTCCAGAGCCGCCCAAAGCGCACCTCGAGGTCAGATACGCGGTCCAGCGTCTTCTTGTACAGCTCTCCCACACGCGGCGCGCAGTCTGAGCACACAGCGCCCTCTGCCTCTTGCTTGCTCGTCAGCGGCTTCTTGCAGCCCATGCACGTCTGCGTCTTCTTAGCGAACTTCATGAGACCTCCGACCATGGGCGCCGCCACGGCAATCGTTCGCGTGTGCGCGCCCGTCAGGAGCGAGTTGGCCTTGGTCTCTCCGAGAATCGGCTCGAAGATGCGACCCAGCGGCTTCGCCAGCTGGTTGTCCAGGTAGTACCTCGTATCGATCGGCACGTTGTTCTCCAGCACGAAGATGGGGTCCTCCGACTTCTCATAGTTCTTCGCTCCCGCTGCGCCCTTGATCATGACGTACGCCACACGGTCACCCAGTCCGGGAGCCGAACCTGCGTCGCGCTTCTTCATTCGTTGGGCGAGTTCCACGTGTGCCTGCTTGGCCGAGTAGTCGTCCTTTGTCAGCGCCTTGGTGATGACAAGCTTTGACATGTCCACCTTGTTCTGTAGCAGGTCGGCGATCATGTCTTTGACATATCTGCGAGACAATGTTAGCCTTGGAAGTCCCGTGTCTGGGACTCAGACATGTGTCTATGAAACTTACTCTTGCGCGCCTTGTACGTCCTGGTCGATGAGAATCATGCGCAAGACCTTTTCAATGACCGTCTGGACCAACAAGCAGTTGTCTCGACGAACCGTCTCGATACCCTTCGTGTCCATCTTGTCGTACTTCTCCGGCTTGGTCCAGTAGAGACCAGCATAGCGCTTCTTGTTGATGAGCAGGTACGGGAAGTAGACCTTTTCGAACTCGAGCTTGATCGGCTTGACGAACTTGGAGGACACGAAGCCGGCGGCTTCCTCGCCCAGCTTCATTGCTTCGGCCAGGTCCTTGGTGCCAAACTTGACCATGACGGAATCCGTGTCACCGTAGATGACCTGCGCGTCGTGCGAATACCCGTTGGCGATGGTGTACTTGGCCTCCACCTCCTCCTTTGTCTTTTCAATCATCTGCCGACCGAAACTTGTGGTACTACTGGCGATTTCCAAGCACGGAAGCTTGCCCGTTGTGGCACCCGTGAGACCGTACACCGAGTTGGCGCTAACCTTCAAAGCCAGCTGTCTTCCGTTCAGCACAGCCTTCTTGAACGGATCAGTTTCGACTGCGAGCTCGCGCTTGGCCTGTTTTCGGGCAGCCAGCAGCTCCTCGAGAATTTGTGCGAGGAGACCCTTTCGTTGCTTGGCTGTCACAAAGGTGTTGCCCGCGGGAGTGACGATGTAATCTTCGTCCTTCTTGAGGCCAAGTTTCTCGATGGCCTTCTTATCCACAATGGTCGTATAACAAAGGTTGTGCGCCTGCATGATACTGGGGTATAGAGATGCAAAATCGAGCGTCGCAATGGGAACGTCGTAGTAGCCTCTTGTCGGCTCAATGACCGTTGCACCTTCGTACTGTTCGTCGCTAGCCTCGGACTTCATATTGGGAATCACCAGCTTCTGCTCCAGCGCCTTGCGGAAAAGCTGACTGATGAACCTCACCTGCTGGCCTCGAGCGAGTAGCATGTTGAACGGAGCGCCTGTGACTCTTGCCATTTCTGTGTAGTTTTCGAGGCAA